ACAAGCTGTGTGGGTATTAGGAGGAAGAGAGTTCCAGGCAGAGGGAACAGCAAGCGCAAAGGCCCTGAGGCAGGAACATGCTCAGAGAGAAGGATCCAGTGTGGTTGAAGTGCACAGAGTGAGTGAAGGGTGAGAGGGAGAGTGCTGTAAGATGAGGACAGAGAGGCAGCAACAAGATCACGCAGGGCCTTGTAAAGTCATAGTAAGAAAGAGGTTTCCATGTTTAAACTGCTATGTGGTATCCCATCATATGAATGACCTGCCTATTGGTAGATATTTAGGTTGTTTCAAGATTTTCTTTATTTCAAACAAAGCTGCAGTGAACATCATCGCACATCTGTGGTTCACAACCCTGGCTGTACATTAGAATTGCCTGGAGAGCCCTAATATCTGCCAATGCCTGGCCCTACCACACTGCAGATTCTAATTTAATGGGTCCTGGTATTTTTTTTTAAAGCTCCCCAGGTGGTTCTCATGGGCAGAACATTACTGTTTTGCATGCATTTTTGTGTACCTGTATCTAAGGTGGATACTGAGAGGTGGGAATGCCGGGTTAGCAGGCACATGAATTTTAAAGATAATAGATACACACAAATTGACTTCCCAAAAGACTGTCCCAATTTATTCTTCCACCAACAGTGTAGTATCCAATTCCTCGCATCCTGGCCAACCTTGATATTATTCATATTTTTAATTGTTTCAGTCTGGCAGACAAAAAATATAGCATTTCATTGTTGCTTTAATTTGCACTTCTCTGGTCACCAGCGAGGCTGAACATCTTTTTCATGTTTATTTTTATTTCTGCATCAATAGTCTACCAGCTTACACCCTTTTCAAAGCAAAAATCCTTCTATTGTTGCTGGCAACTTAAGTGTGACATGTCTCTATCTCAACTTATATGAACCAACAAAGAAAGATCCTTGTGACCTTCTGGAAATAGGTAATGTTCCCCATTTTTCATTATGGAATCACAAAAATTCTCTGAAGACAAAACTATGCAAAACAATCCCCAGAAAGCCTTACCCCAGCCAATAATACAGGAAAGAAGATGGATTTGCTTTTACATTTTTGCAAAAAGGCCAAGTTCTCGCTTTGTGCCCATCTTGATATATATGCTTCCTTCTAATCCTAACACAATTGAAGGATATTTTGAGGGCAGGGAAGGACTCGCCCCAGTTTGTTTATGAGAGAAGATTTCCTAGTGCAGAATGGGTTATATTTGCTAACTTTGTGCCTGCTAATGGGGCAGTCGTGAGACCCTTAGCCCTGTTTAGACGTCAAGTTCTTCCTTAATGGAAACCTTGGAACACAAAAGCTCTTATTGCTAAGAATGATGAGCAAGCATTTTTTATACATGGTGGTGTGTACCTGGCCATTTAGATACCTAAAATACCACTCAGGGATGTAAGTTCAGTGGAGTTGTATTGTATGTGTGTTTAATTTATGGCAAAACAACTATTCATGTTCCCCCAAAAGAAAAAAAGTAACTGTTTTAAGTGGATCTGGAGATTCTGGCTAACACTCCACTCGATGGTCATGAGCGTGGATGGGAATGTCACTCCCGTTCCTTCTATGTGAGACCAGAGCACCGTTCCAGATACCATGATTCCTAAACACAGCCCAGTACTTCAGCTGGTGCTCAGTCCGAGAAACAGTCACTTCTTCCAGTGCTGGGAATGTTGACTGGTTGTGTCGGGACTGATCAACATACTGTGGGTGAGTCTCTAACAGGAAGCCCTCCCAGGCATGCTTCCAAGATGAAGTCTGATTATACTCAAAACTCACCTATGCCCTGACATGAGAACCTCACCTCTGAGTAGGATGCAGCTCCATCGTACTCCCAGGGTCATCTGAGAGTGTCACTTGTCATCTTTATGGTAGAGAACACTTGTCTTCCTCACACTCAAGCTTTGTCATGGTCAATTGCTTTTGCTGCTAAGGAAGTTGCACCAAATTCCGCAGAGCATCAGATATGGGACCATGAGCCTGACCACGAGGAGGAGGAGGACACTTGGGAGGTATGTAAACTTTCTAGGGAGTAGGGGGGAAGCAGCAATAATTGAAGCATGTAACAGGTATCTTAGGGATATAAAAAAGTCTTGTTTTGTGGCATATTCCCACACAGGCAGGAATG